AAAGGAATTTTATTTAGCATTAGAAACCTCACTGAGAAACAATGTTGAATCTTCATTACTAATGAATAGTTTTCTTTCAGGGGGGTTGAATTATAGGTTCAATTTCCTTTTTGGTGATACACTATGGAACATAAATGAAAATGTGGGAAATACCTCATCAGCTTTAATTAGGAAATATGTAACTGATTTATGGCAATATAGAAAAGAAATGATGAATGAAATTTAAATATATGTATCACTGTTTTCATGCTGCCGATACAACGGTTGAATAAACATTATTATTATTATGTCGAACAATTCATACAAAGTCAAACGCACGCGACGGCCGTTCGTGATACTTTAATAAATTATTCTAAACTATATTGAGCTACTGTTGCTTAAATAAACAAAAATCGCACAGAAAGCTTCGGCTTATATGTAGTATCATCCAATATACGGTTGACTGAAATAGCTATAGATTTTCAACAAGCTTTTTTTTAGGCACCAAATTCTTTACATAATTGTTATTGCGATGCCTCAAGCTTATCAAAAAACATTGCCTTATCACTGGGTATTTTGATATAGAAAGGGATGTAAAACAGGGGACCAGGTTTCACCCGCTCTCTTTATTTTATCTCTGGAGTTGCTCTTGGTGTCACTAAGAATGGACGACCCTGTCCATGGAATTGTAGAATAAAATGACTGTAATATTGAATTTTCAGCTTTTGCAGACGATTTGTCGTGTTTCTTGGAAGGTGTTGCATCAGAAAACAGATTACTTGCTCATCTTGATAAGTTTCATGTTTGCTCAGAATTAAGTATCAAAACTGAAGCAATATAGCTTGGGCGGTCACGTACCCGTAAACATTTACCAGTGTATTGACCTTCTGAACCGATTAAAATTGTCGGGATATACTTCTTCTATTAGGGCGGTAAATCCTATAACCTGAACAGTCATAGACTCTATCCAGAATTGTATACAGAAGAATTTACTTTATAAAATTATTGATCTACCTAAAACTTTTGCTTTTATTTAATAATATTGTGGTCAAAACAGAGAACATATTAAACATATCCACTACTAGTAACACCTGAGCGGACGAAATGATCACACGGTGTATATTCACCAATGACGGTTACAGTGAGTTCAAAGCAATAATGTTTTGATCGTATGTTTTGGCTTTTCAAATTTGACGATGCATCATCACATATAAACTACAAGTATTACATGCATGAGACGTTCAAATGTGCTGAATCTTGAAATCTGGTCACATCTGACTACATCTTGACTAAAAACCGTGCATTCATAGACGTAGAGCCACGCACGCTGCTTAAGATGCGTTTAAATGGTCAGGACGTAAGATAGTATGTGGCGGGCTTTCGGCGGGCATTGTACGCACTATCGCGAGTAATCGTCGTAATTATTGTTATTATATTATATATTAAGCACGCTGCTGTTGGTAAATCGGCACGCCGAGTCCGATAAAACGTTCAAACGCAAATATATCGGCCATGTCATCGTTCTAATTGGAGATATGAGACTGTTGTTATTCTTAATAATTACACATACTCGTGATAGTGGCCTGTCTGAAACACGTGTTTGTTCTTATGTGGGTGTCAACGATGTACTCAGCGATGTACTGTATGTGCCTGGACATACAGCTTCGTGTTGTTTAAAGAATGTGACGTTCTCATGTAGCAGACAACGACGGCATGAAGCGAGATAAACTCGTCAACCGAATGAAGTTGGCAGTCGATAAGTGAGGTTTTGGGAAAAGAAGTTCCAGATATTATCGTTATTGTTGTTGTTCATTTTGTGTGACAAGTTATCCACAATGGCGGTGGCCCAGGGGGAACAGATGGGCGGTCGCCCCTCAAAATACAGGAAATAGCGTTTCAGAGGGTCTAAATTTAATTTTTTTTAAAGAAGGCATGGCCCGGACCCCCCCCCCCCGAGTAAGGTCGCGCTTTTGGCGCGAGGTTGGTGAGCAGATCTCGCCCCTCCATGTACTATTTCGTACCGCCACCTATGACAGCATTTGACTGTGTTCAATTGAAAAACAAATAATATAGATAAAGTTACAATATGTTGATACCTGTGTTTTTAATCTCCCTTGTTGTTGGGACCACTCATGGATATTACTAGTATTATCACTTTTGTAGTTGGTACCACTCAGGGATAATGTTATCCCTTCTTTTCTTGGACCCACCCGGAGAAAATATTATCACCTTTGTAGTTGGTACCACTCAGGGATAATGTTATCCCTTTTTTTCTTGGAACCACCCAGAGATAATATTATCACCTTTGTAGTTGGTACCACTCAGGGATAATGGTATCCCTTCTTTTCTTGGAACCACCCAGAGATAATATTATCACCTTTGTAGTTGGAACAACTCAGGGATAATGTTATCCCTTCTTTTCTTGGAACCACCCAGAGATGATGTTATCACTTTTGTAGTTGGTACCACTCAGGGATAATGGTATCCCTTCTTTTCTTGGAACCACCCAGAGATAATATTATCACCTTTGTAGTTGGTACCACTCAGGGATAATGTTATCCCTTCTTTTCTTGGAACCACCCAGAGATGATGTTATCACCTTTGTAGTTGGAACAACTCAGGGATAATGTTATCCCTTCTTTTCTTGGTACCACACAGAGATAATATTATCACCTTTGTAGTTGGAACCACTAAGGGATAATGTTATCACTTCTTTTCTTGGAACCACCCAGAGATAATATTATCACATTTGTAGTTGTTACCACTCACAAAATGGATTTGATCCAAATTAAACAAACTGAACCCTTTCTTCAAATGGTGTTGGCCAAGCCTCTATCTGAAAGTCATTCAATTAATGGAAGTCAAATACACTGGTAACCATAATTAGGGATTGGTTATGTTCTCCGGTAGGGGGTGCCGAGGGAAATCAGGAGGACCAAGCTATTTTAAAATTGAATAAAAAGGGGGGGGTGCCTTTTTACATTGCCTGGGAAGGGGCCTGTCAATTTTGTTATGCACAGAAAAAAACATACTATTTGTTTAAACAGACACAATATTTAAAGAAAATTTGTTATTGCACACAAATATTTAACTTCATGAACCTTCTTTTAATGTTATGACTATAAATGGTCATGGTCAATTTAATGGTCATGACCATAATATTGATGATGCCCTCGCCTTCGGCTCTGGTATCATCAATAATATGGTCATGACCGCCATCTCTTGGGAAGGCAACAAATCGTGATTTTACCCTCACAAGCATGTGTTACTATTCAAATATAACATGGCCTGGTATATGAACTATTTGTAACTCTTAAATGTCAATATCACCAGTCGTGAGTTATTTAAGATAACGATAAAATAATTGGTTATTGAGAGCTGAAAGGAGAGCTGAACTGACATTAACGAATGATTCGAAGTGCATATTAACTGTCATTGATTTACGTTGTGGCGTGAATTTGAAACAGATTTACAGCGCGAGTAGACTGTTACTGTTAGTATTTG